GAATTTAGTTTATTAAAGATTGTTTTTAGAGAGGTGTATTAATGAGCCAAGTAGAGAGATTTAAATATGGTGATTAGGAGGAAGTATTGAATACTCTAAGTGGCTTTCATGATGTTTCCCTTATCTGTGAAGGATTCCCACGTCAATGGGAGGATGGGAGGTGTTTAGTAATCCTTGAGAGGAGAGCTGAGCAAATTAGAGTGCAGGGGCGGGTCATCTGTGAGGTATTTAAGGCTTGTGATGAAGGAAATGGACGTCTTGAGAACGCCCGATGGGAGGGGCGAAACGCGTTGACGCATTTCCGGTCCATTTGCTGTACGTCTGACGTCACTTCCGGTGAGTGGAGCGCACGCCGAGCGGTGCGTTCCAGCGGCCATTTTGTGGGATTCATGTTGAATATTGGTTAAGTCTCTGCCTCATCTGGCTGCATTGATGTGGGAACCCTGGAGGATTTGCTGGCTGTGATTATCTGGCTGTCTTGGGCCCAATAAATGTGCTTTTATTATTCATTTGAAATGTGAGTGGCCTGGAGTTTGTTCAATATAGGATCAGAATGATCTTGGCAATATTACACTATGTAAGTTTTTTTCTCTGAGAACACGGTGGAGGAAGCGAGGAGATCACGGTGAGGACCTGATAGAGGATCTTATCTTTGGGAGGCTAATTTTGAGTGGATGGAAAGAGGGCGTGGGATTCCCTATTAAAATCCCAAAGGCTCTACATTCACCTTAATCTGGTGAGTGCATTTGATGTTGGTGTGCACGGGTGAAAGGTGGAAGGCTAAGAATTTTATTTTGGAGGTCTTTATTTTGCACCACAAGGGACTTTTAATGAGTTTTTTGACACAAATATGTACTAAGTGATATGGGGTTTTGATATTTTGTTATTTAATAATATCTATTTTGCGCTGTTTATTTTTCACATTTCAATTAATATTCCTGGCTATGTTCTCTTTCGGAGAGACAGGGTAAATAGGAAAGGTGGTGGTGTCTGTCTCTATGTGAGAAGTGATCTCAGAGTGAGTGTGAAAGAGGACCTAGTTGATGGAGAGTGTGATGACGCTGAAGTATTATGGGTGGAACTGCACATGGGGGTGCATACTACAAAGGTAATAATTGGAGTTTAATAGAAAGAAGAAAAGTGAGCACTATATATCAAAGCAACTGGGACACCAAAAAAGGTACCGATACAACCTCTCCGAAGTTAATAATATAAATAAAGGTGCAGCGCTTGTAAAATCCGCAATATATATCATGCAGTAAATGTAAGCATAAAGACTGGTATATGGTGCACAAATAAATGTCCATGTGAAGGTCAAAATCTGAAATGTGGTAATGAGGATTTCTTCCCAACCACTTCTGGTGATAAGTATATAAATTGCGCACTCACCAGATGCACAAAGTTATTGCGCATTTGAGAAAACTATGTCTCAGTAGGTCGACCGGGGTGCCTTAGAGGGGGTTTCTCCCATCTGGTATGGATTCCTCCCTGGGTGCCTCCTGGATGATAGCAGCTTCCCTCTCCTCTGCAAAGAACTCTGCGAATGGTTGGACTCATAGAGAGACCAAGAAAGGAGGAGGCCACATAGCGTGATACTGTAGACCCTGAAGTATAAACAGTTTTGTCTGTCTGTATAAAGATGTATCCAGCTTCAGGAGATAACAAGACGGTTTTGCGGAGATAACACCATGTGGACTTCACTGTCACAGTGGCAAAGTGCTTTTTTTGTAGAATGCTTGTGTAACGTGTGAATGAGGGTATCTCCTTGCTGTTCTTGATTCCTTCACATGTGTGTTGTCTGTCAGGTGAGCACTTACTGCCCTGAATTTTGTCTGTTATACAATAAAATTACTTTGGAGAAAATACTACACTATTCTGGCACCTGTTTTTGGGCTCCTATGTGGAGCTATTACATCTACAGGACACAGCCCTATGTCATCCAGTATCCAGAGGAGGGAGCCCTGTATGCAAGTTGAGTGCCCCATCCACCCTTAAGGGGCCTCTGGACCCAGCAATATCCCATACCTAACCCAGGCTGACTGACCAGATCTCAGAAGGATGCCCACCACCTGCTGACTACAGATTACCACCTAGGATTAATATTCCTACATGCGCATTATTCATGCGCTTCTGGTGAGTGCGCACTTCTGTTATTTTAGTCACAGTTTCATTGGGATAACTGCTTCATAGGAAACTACAGCTGGTGCCTACTGTTGAACTCTATTGATAGACTTACCTCACTGGAGCCTTCTACCTCATCATCTATTGAGCGCTGCAGTTTATTTACTTTTTGGTTAATACAAACAATATAATAGAATATGCAAAAAGGAAATAAAGGCTGCAAAAATTAAAAACGAATGACCGATTGCAAAAGATAGCAGAACCAACCCCAAAAAAATTCTTCAAATATATTAATAGTAAAAAGGTTCGGTCCCGAGCATGTAGGCCCTTTACAAAGTAATCTAGAGTGGGTGACTGGGGACAAAGAGAAGGCAAATTTATTTAATACCTTCTTCAGCTCTGTGTATTCAAAGGAGCTTGGGGGAGCTCTTGTCCATAATGGGCATGGCAGCTCCAGATGATCCACATCTTGATATGATCCAAAAATATTTAGACAGAATAAAGCACCTGGACCAGATGGCATACACCCACGGATCCTTAAAGAATTGAGCTCTGTCATTTCAAAGCCATTGTTTCTAATTTTTAGGGACTCTTTAATGACTGGCATAGTACCACTGGATTGGCGTAAGGCCAATGTGGTGCCAATATTTCAAAAGGGGTCAAAATCTTTACCAAGTAATTACAGACCTGTTAGTTTAACTTCTATAGTTGGGAAGATACTGGAGAGTTTAATCAAAAACCACATAGATGAGTTCTTTCTGGTAAAAAATATTTTAAGTAACAGACAGCATAGATTCATGAAAGACAAAAGTTGTCAAACAGATTGGATTTCTTTTTATGAGGGGTGAGCAAAACCTTGGACAGAGGGGTTGGCGGTGGACGTGGTATACTTTGGATTTTGCAAAAGCGTTTGACACAGTGCCCCACACACAGCTAATGTGTAATGTAAAGTCTATGGGCTTGGAAAAATCTATATGTAAATGGATAAAAAACTGGCTAAAAGATTGTATTCAGAGAGTAGTGGTTAATGATTCATACTCTGCATGGTCTAGGGTCGTCAGTGGTGTACCTCAGGGTTCAGTGTTGGGACCCTTACTTTTTAATATATTTATAAACAATATAGGGTCTGAGATTAAAAATCCCATTTCAGTCTTTGCAGATGACACCAAGCTGTGCAGTGGAATAACGTCCTTACAGGATGTCTTCAATTTACAAGCCGACCTCAATGCCCTGTGTAATTGGGCAACTATGTGGCAAATGAGGAATAATGTTGATAAATGTAAAGTTATGCACTTGGGGGCTAAGAATATGCATGCATCATACATACTAGGGGGGTACAACTGGGGGAATCAATGATGGAGAAGGATCTGGGGGTTCTGGTAGATCACAAGCTTAATAATGGCATGCAATGCCAAGCTGCGATTTCTAAAGCAAGCAAAATCCTCCCTTGTATTAAAAGAGGTATAGACTCCAGAGAGAGAGATATCATATTACCCCGGTACAAATCATTAGTAACACCTCATCTGGAATATGCAGTTCAGTTTTGGGTACCAAGTCGCAAAAAGAACATTAAGGAATTGCAGAAAGTACAGAGAAGGCAACCAAACTGATAAGAGGCATGGAGGAGCTCAGTTATGAGGAAAGATTAGAGGAACTGAATTTATTCTCTCTTGAGAAGAGGAGATTAAGGGGGGATATGATCACCATGTATAAATACATCAGTGGTTCATATAGTGAACTCGGTGTAGAGTTATTCACCCTGAGGTCATCACAAAGGACAAGGGGGGCACTCTTTATGTCTGGAGGAAAAGAAATTTAATCTCCAAACACGGAAAGGTTTCTTCACAGTGAGAGCTGTGAAAATGTGGAATAGACTCCCTCCAGAGTTGGTTCTGGCCAGCTCAGTGGATTGCTTTACAAAAGGTCTGGATTCTTTCTTAGAAACACAGAATATAACTGGATACTAACATTTATAGATAAAGTTGATCCACGGAATATCCAATTGCCTCTCGGGGGCTCAGGAAGGGATTTTTTTTCCCTGCAGGAGCAAATTGGATCTGTGGGTATAGGATAACTTTTTTTTTTAATGGTTGAACTGGATGGACTTTTGTCTTTTTTCAGCCAGACTAACTATGTAACTATCGCATATAATAAAAAAAAATAACAAAATAAAAAAATATAAAAAAAGCTCAGTGGTGGTAAAATACCACCTAAAGAAAGCTCTGAAAAAATGGTATAAATTTCATTTGGGTACAGCACTGCATGACCAATTGCCAGTTAAAGTAGCACATTGCTGAATATCAAAGAATGACTTGGTCATGAAGGGGGTAAAATCTTCTGGAGCTCAAGTGGTTAAATGAACCCTGAGGGTTACAAAAACCCATTTTAACTATCCAGTTCTTGTGCCACAAAATGACCCCTCTTTAGCATCATTAGCCTCATTATTTTAGTGAATTACTGAATATTTCTTCACTAAACATTTGAAATGTTAGCAATGTAGTGATAATGAATATTACATGGCCACTTTCCAGGGGTTGTGTGGCTTCACATATGGTCATTACCGTATGCATCCAAGATGACTGTATTTATTCTATAACTGGGAAATAGAATAAAATTATGACATAGAATGTATTAGTTATACTGGTTTTGTGGCTGCCACTTTTTTAATATTAACTGGTATATACTGGTTCATCACAAGTCACCTAAAACAAAGCTGTTTTATATATTAGTTTCTAATTATTGCATAATTGCACTCCTGACTGGGCACACCAGCATATGTTCAAACAAAGGATCAACTCAGATCATGCCAAAAACTTTATCTAGAAAGGAAATGCACAAACAGCTTAGTGTGACTACAGTCATAAGCACACTTTGTTAGGAACAGGGGTGGACTGCCCATTTGGAAACTTGGGCACTGCCCAAGGGCCCGGGGTCAGTAGGGGGCCCCATGAGATGCCCCTGGTACCTTTTTCATAGTTTTTTTTGAGTTTGGGCAAGGACACAGGGGCCCCATGATCCCCTATTGCCCATGGGCCCCATGAGTTGTCAGTCCGCCCCTGGTTAGGAAACATACAGTATATCTACACTTCCTGTTAAAATGTCTGAATTAATGTTGAGCAAAACTCTTTGGAAGTTTTAACGTGAATTATGAGGTACAAGTGCATGTAAGGATTGCTTTAGGTTTGTTGAACCCACCTACAGGTGCTTCTATTAATGTTACTCTACTGTATGTCATTTGTTGTTTATACTTGAATAAAGACCTTCCAAAAAGACGGAAAATAAGTAAAGTAAAAAATGTCAAATATTTCATAAATACACAAAATAAGGGAAACATAGATACAAAGAACACTGAATTCAATAAGCCAAACTACTTTAACTTGTTCCCACCGACAGTATGCATATATGCAGCCTCTTGGCTTTAACACACAGTTACTGGTGGGAATCGGAAAGCTCCCAAAGCCTACTTGCAGTTGGGAGCTTTCCAATCATGTGACCGCTGTAACAGCCAATCACAGTGGTCACATGACCGTAATGCCCACCTTCGACTCCCGGCATTTAGAAGCTCTTAAAGGGCAGGGAGGCGAGAAGGGGTTAAATACACCAAAAAAGTATTTATATAAAAAAAGAATGTTTCACTTAACTAGCTAAATGAGAGTCTGAAATTTCACCAATGGCCAGAAATCACTATTTTCATCCCTACTGGACAACCCTGTCTGATTGACTTTAGGGCAAAAGACTAACAGGAGAAGTTTAGGCAAAATATTATACAATATCCATTTTCCCTCAACATTTTGCACCTCAACATAAACATGAACTTGACCAAGTCGGGAAACAACTAACCAATAGACGAGCCTCAGGATACCTAATGCCTGCATGTTCACTGCCTGCTGTAATAAGAATAAATTCAGGAGCTCTGGTGATAAAAGGGTGCCCATGGATAAAAGGGTGCCTACCAGACTAGGGGCAGTGGTCTGCAAATTCATGCATAATCTATATGTAGCCATTATCCAGCTGGTCTTGGCTGAAAGAATGAGACACAAGGCCTAAGCAATAAGAATAAATTCTGGATGGGTGCAAGACTGTTCAGTGGTCTGGAAATGCTACCCCATGTGTGTGAGAATGGATTAATGCAACTGTTCTCTGGAGCTCTACCCTGGGTGTGGAATGGATTAACAGCTCTATCGGCAAAAGGAAAGAGTTGCTGAGAAGAAAAGGTTCAATAGTCGGGCAGCACGGCACTGTGGGAACTGTAGTCCTGCGGAGAGACTCTACTGTGTATCTGAAATATGCAGTTCAGTTTTGGGCACCAGTTCACAAAAAGAACATTGGGGAACTGGAGAAAGTACAGAGAAGGGCAACCAAACTGATAAGAGGCATGGAGGAGTTCAGCTATGAGGAAAGATTAGGGGAACTGAAATGTATTCTCTTGAGAAGAGGAGATTAAGGGGGAATATGATCAACATGTATAAATACATCAGTGGTTCATATAGTGAACACGGTGCAGAGCTATTCACCCTGAGGTTATCACAAAGGACAAGGGGGTACTCTTTACGTCTGGAGGAAAAGAAATTTAATATCCAAACACGGAAAGGTTTTTTCACAGTGAGAGCTGTGAAAATGTGGAATAGACTCCCTCAAGAGTTGGTTCTGGCCAGCTCAGTGGATTGCTTCAAAAAAGGCCTGGATTCTTTCTTAGATACACAAAATATAACTGGATACTAACATTTATAGGTAAAGTTGATCCAGGGAATATCCGATTGCCTCTCGAGGGATCAGGAAGGAATTTTTTCCCCAGCAGGAGCAAATTGGATCATGCTTTGCTGGGATTTTTGCCTTCCTCTGGATCAACTGTGGGTATAGGATTATAACTTTTTATAACAAGACGTAATCTGTGATGTCAACGGGTTTTGCTAGGAAGTAACGTAGCTTCGTCTGGACCCTCACAAAGGCCTCATCTCCTGCTGTGGAGGTCCTGAGGACAGTGACCTAGTCTAACAAGCAGAAAAACCCATCTCCACCATCAGGAGCTTTGGTACTTAGACCCCACACCTCAGGTGAGCCTCTGTCATCCACCAGGGTGACCTGCTTGTATGCCTATCCTACTGGTTGCTGGGATGTTCCCTATTGCTATAGCTACTGGTGTCCAAGCAAGCTTGAACCCTGACCATAACATAAGACCTATGATTGCAGTAAGGTTAAATTTCAGGATACAAAAGGTGCCTACAGACTTTGGACAGTGTTCTGCAAATGCATTCATAATATATCTCCTAGAGAGAGGGGTGGAGAAGCACTGAAGGCATCAGTTTTTATGGACGAAAGCAATAACGACTGGCTGGGCAAATCCATCTTGTCTGTTCATTTGTGTTTCATAGATATGGATACTCATATGTGATCATAGATATGGATACTCATAATCCAGCATAGATGGCCTTCAAAACTCTGAAAGTGTTCCATGATCCAACCACAAATGGCTGGATCCAATGCATAGACAAAAACTGATGCCACCACAAAGTCCTGCTCATTTTTCCTCTAAGACAAATAGCAATCCACAGTTCTCCAGTCTTATCTTCATACATTTTACACTAAGAGTGCTCACACATAAAGTCATGGATCAGATGTTTGGTCCCATATACCAATATGGCAAGATGTGACAGTAAAGGGGACAGTCCCAAAGCAAAACCCCAACCAAGCAAAAATGGCATTTACTTTGAATGTGCAGATATATGCAATGTCACAATTTTCTTGTTTTGTCTCCAGTCTATTGATTTGCTGGGCATCTGGAGTTCAGATTCGGGTGCAGAATCCAAACTCTGTTAAAGTTAATGTGAGCAAAATGGTAATAACAGTAATGGACATTTTCTAGGTTAATTGGGAAGAGATTGTGATAGAAATGGAATAGAGGGCTGGGTACCTTCCTAGGACACCATTGAAAATAAAGTTTTTTAAAATTCAGTTTGGCGGCAAAGTTGTGAATTCATAATTCCTTTAAAATTGAAGTAAAGGTAAAACCTTTTTTTTCATTTTGGATAGCATAAGGAAGAATTATAACCCTGTCAGGTTTTTTTGCTATCTGGTTCCCATTGGGGAGATTTCCCTTCATTTCCTGTTCCATAGTCAAAATAGAAGTGAGAGGAAATCTCTCCAAAGTGATGGCATCCCTAGGGTCACTGGAACTAGTGTCCCCACTGGAAGATTTCCCCTCTATTACTGTTCTGCGGACAACCCTAAATTTTGGCATTTTCTTTCACTTTTATTTGATAATGGTAAACATGATAAATCCAGAGAGTGAATCCCCCTAACGGGGGCACAGACAGCGGTGAAAACGTGACAGGAGTTCTAATCCATCGGAACTCAGTCCAAAATAGCAATATACTTCATTCTGTTTGTAAACAAAGTGGCTGAGGATTCCCTTAATATATACCAGATCCTTATTCTAGATGAGGGTCTGGTATAGATATTAATGGGGACCCCCCAAAAAACACATGTTGTGGGGTTCCTTCTAAAATAACATACAAGACCCTTATTCTTAATAAGGATCTGCTGTGGATGTCTAGGAGGATCCCTCAAATTTCATAACAGACCTTTATCCAAGTATGCATACTGGCAGAAAAAGGGGGTTCGAGCATGCTCCCCTCCCCTGAACCATACCAGGCCACATGTCCGTAACATAGGGAGAGTAGCTTGCCAGGGACTCTGGCATAGCACCTTGTCCCCATGTTGTTGAGGACAAGGGCCTCATCCCCATAACCCTGGCCCCCAGGGTCTATCTCTCTCCATGTGATTGAGTGATGGGTACATTGTGCCCTACCCATTCACAAAAAATGTAAATTGTAAGTAAAAAACACACATTTTGCAAAGTAATTTATTTAAAAAAATATATTCCACAATGAAAATCTATTGCCAAACACATCCAAAGATGCAGATCCATATCAATCAGAATGAATGAAGTCTGCTGACCTGCCAGATGGGGACGACTCGCTAGTTGTTAGGAACCCTGAGCAGGAAGCTGTCACAATTAGAGTGATAATAATACCACTGCTAAATTTTCACTTTCCACTGCAACCAGAGGTTCAGCTTGGCAGAACACCCATTTAGTTCAGTTGTATCGCTTCTCGGCCTTTTGGCTAAGATCAAGTGTAGTATCTGTTCTTATCAGTGTCCAGTGGGGGTGCTCCCGACCATTCTAGCTTTGCGGGGATGGTTGTTGTATAGTACCCTCACTGGTATGATGGGGGTCCGGAAGGCTGAACCAGAGGGACAGAAACCAGGGAGCGCCATGATGAGCTCTGGGGCCTTGGGAGTAATTCCTCTGGTGAAGCTGGAAAGACCCAGTACCTCCTGATTCGGACGGATCTACCTTGGTCTGGCCTGGGGCTGGGGACGCAAAAAGTCCGCAAACTCAGTGCCCCCTGGGGAAGACGCTCTCAGGGGTGTCACTAGTAACACTTGGGTGTGGGACCCCACGGTGTGAAGATGACACATGGCCACTGTTTTTCACTTCTTTTTGCACAGCGCCCTAAGGACCAGGCCTTTTGGCTAGGACCAGGGCAATTTTTGCTACAGGCCTCAGGGCCTGGTCTGTGCACAATTCGGCACGGAACCACTTTTTTATTTTTTCTTTATCTTTATTTATTATGCACTCCCACGTTTGTCACTTTTTTGCTCTTATGTGTGTGTTTTTTCACGGATGGAGGGTGTGGGTCCTCGGGCCTACCCTGAAGTCTAGGGGGAGGATGTGCGGCCATACGGTTCCTTCCTCCCCTGATCCCTAGGGGACTCTTCTTCGGGAGAGTCCCCTTGCCTAGTACTGGATGTCCGGCTTCGGCTGGGCATAGGGAACGGTGGTCCACCAGGCCTTTTGGCCAGGAGGACCAATTGGGAACCTTGTCCCCGTCAGGAGCTTCGTGCCCCGGGGGATCAGGGTAAGCGGTCCAAGCCCCTTTAGGGGTAGGACACAGCACACCCCTAAGTGCACTTTTTCGTGTGGTGTTTTGCACTTGCACTTTTTTTGTGAACACTTACGGGTTTTTTCGTTATAGTTGCACGTTTGCGGACTTAA